ATCAAGTGTTGACTTCATTCACAGAACTTGGCCTGTCAAAGCCTGCCAATATTGCAACTCTGACTCTGACATTGAACATTGTTGCACTCCTGCCCCAACTGAAAGTAGAATTTAGAAGTAACTGATAAAGAAGTGTTTAAAACTACTGTGAAAGTAGTTACACCAGCAGAGGCTATAAACGGCCTGAAGCCTGCTGGCCTTGCTGGATGTGGTTGAACTTGTAGAAGTGCTTTCAAAGACTCCAGGCTTAAACTAAGGTAATTTATGAGCAACAGTAGGATGAACTCCTAGCACCACCAGCATGTAGTAGTCGTCTGAAAATCACCCATAGAAATCTCCTCCGTATCCTGCGGGTGCTGTTCCCCAATTATTGCCCAATGCTCCTTGATCCCAATTCCAATTTGCCTCGGTGGCGTCTGTGTGGTTAGCCATTGGAAATCTAATTAGCGAAGTTCCTCTGTATGAGGGGGTCATGTAGAGAGTTGAAAAGGCCCCCGGGCAGAAAAGGGGCTTGTTGAGAAGTAGCATCTAACACAAAGTCTACTGAAGGCTAGGAGTTGAGAATTCAGAGTTGAGAATTCATACTTCCTGAAAACCTTATGTGAATCATCAGCTGCATACAGTGCTGCCACACTGTGAGGACTCTGTGGGGGAGTGGATGACTCGAGGTAAGAGGAGAGTTGTGTGTGACTAGAAAACGGTCTCTGTGCAGCAGCTAATCGTCAGCCTTGTGAGGGGGCATCATGGGACAGTGTTCAGATATCGACAGTCAAATGAACTCTCAGAGAGTAGGGTAAGGACGATGTTGCCCAGGCTTAACAATGGGATCTTTTGTAGCTCCAGGTCACTCACAAGATGCATGTCTCGGGTTAGTTTTCTTCCAATTAAGTTGTTTTTTGCACAGCAGAAAATGTATAAGGTGTTGGTCAAACTTGTTTGTCAGAAAAGAAAACTGAGTGCCAATTCCTGAGGTAACCTCAGTCTTGAATAAACAATGTGCTTCCTCAGCTATGATTTGTGAAGTTATAATTTCATTAATCAGTCTATTGAGTAAATATAATATGAGAAATTATAACTGCATCGGTCTTCTATCCAACTTGTAGATTTTCACACAGAACTGTTATTGATCAATGAATGTGCTGTACGGTGTACTCCATGCACATGGATGACTTTCTGGCTCTTTATCAGGCAGAACAATGGTCATTTCACAGTAATAATCATTGGATCAATGACCAAAGAAAAGTCACCATAGCTAGGGGATAAATGGTTAGAGAGCTAAACAGGCATCACAGTGCTCCCCTTCCCAAATGAGGTAGACACACATCCACAAAGGCCTACACACTCCGACCACACACACATTCTGTGGCAAATCATCTGGCCCCCTGTCCCTGCTCATCGCCATGGTGATGTGATAGTCCCCAGTCCCCAGCAGAGCCCCGGGTGGGTAATGGTCCGTGGAGAGCAGGGGGTAATGTGCCTAATCGTGTCTGAAATGACAGAGGGGGCCAGGGACATGCACCCTCATTATGTAGGCCCATGTATACTGGGGGTGGGCTCATTCAATTCCTATTTCTCTGGGGCCCTGTGGCGTCCCAAGGCACAGAGGTGAGAGGTGGTCGCTAGCTATTCCCCTGTTATCCAAAACAATGAAGGGATTAGCCTCCACCCCAGTGAAACGGCAGCGGTGTTCAGTTTGTGAGGTCACAGCATATCAGAGGGATAGGTCTGCATTAGGATAATGCGCCTCTTTTTAGTTTGTACGACAGGTGTTGGCAGAAAATAAATGTCCCCGTAGCAGACAGGTGCATAAAGCGGTTGATTTGAGGATACAATTGGCATTTAAGATTTAATTGCATATTTTTATGGAACAGTGGTCCATAGCCAAACTGAAGCTGGGTCATAAAAATTGACTTGTGAAGGTTTATGTATGAATTAAAATGGATCCTTTTTAAAGATGACACCCACTCCTCATAAAGGCTCCCATTTTCTCATCATTATGTGTCCTTTTCACACAATGCTGTGAAAAGCCCTCAAACCGCCAGACTGAGGACATCTCATCAAACCACAGAACCAGCACTGTGGATTAATCCAAATGAATGTCAGATAATCAATGTGCAGCCCCAGCGGCCCTCAATTCCTTACCCTACAAAGAGATCCAACTGCCAGTATCTCCCAGATGGCTTGACAAGTCCAGTTCATTAAAAACAAAATGATCCCACACCTCCCATCCAAAATAGAACACAGAGAGAGAGTGTGGGTCGGGATAAGCAGTGGCTTATTTCCCATCGACAGCTGTCAGCTCATCAGCCTGCCTCTCCATTCGCTCTGTAAAAGGCGATTGATTAGAGAAGAAAATGAAGAGCCACATATTCCTAATGGGTGCTGCATCGTTTATGGGGAGGGTGCGGTGTGTTTGTGACATAGCAAGTTTTGGCGGGCGGCATTCAATGTGGCGGTAGCAGCTGGACCCTGGTATCAGGTTTTAGATCATGCCCCTGTCACTATGGAAATATCCCATTGAGAAGAAGCTGAAGAATTTACGGGTTGAGGCGATAAACAACATGAACACATTAGATGCACTACATGCAGGGCAATTTGAAGGCAGGCCCTAAAGATATTTGTAAAACCACATCTTAAAAGACTGTTAAATTAAGCCATTGCATTGGCTTTATGGGGATTGAGCATAGTGAGGTTCTGAGCGTCTGTTCCTTTTTGCAACTTCCATAGAAGTTCACTTTGTCACTGTGGACTGTCTATAAATGTATTTTAAAGAGGCAGAAGTCAGCCCCTACTCTAGCAGTGATGCTTACCATCACATCTGTCACTCACTCAGCATGAAAGACTGGACGTGCCTCCACATACAGTACCCTGGAAGTCTACATGATAGGGTTCTTTCTACCATGTCACTGTCATCAAGCTCTGGATAAAGGCTCCTTGCCAAATCCCCACCACCAGCACACGTCTCGAAGGGAACCCCAGGACAACAGTGTATGCAGCAGATCAAAGGGATTTATGCTGGTTTACATTACATTACTGTAGCTAGGACTGAATTGGATTACGTTGGGCACTTCGTCGCATTTTCCACTTCCACAAGCTCCACATCCATCCCCAGCTGTATCGCTCGTCAACATGTGGAGAACTTCACAAACAGAAACAGCAACTGTTCAGGGTGCTGCTGATAAACACGCCAAGAAGCTCATCCACTCAGTGCCTTTGTGTGGAAATCTGTGGAAGGTCCAGAGGCCTCAGAGGGTCTGTAGGGTCAGTTCATCTGGTGGTCGGTCTTGCATAAGCTCCTGCAGGCACTGTGCTTGTCTTGTTGTGAGTCATCTTTGCATTTTCCTGGCTTTATAGCCATTGGATAAATACTCTGCACTTGTCGATATTTGATCTCTGCCCCGTCTCCATAACCTTTGATTTGATTTTCACACTCTACATGTTTATGATCGTCGGCCTAGTCTATGCATATTCATGAGAGCAGAGAGCCAGTTATGCAAATAATTTCATAGTTTTATTGAGTTTATTTAGCATATTTTTAACTGCAACTTTACCTAGTGTTTTTTATTTATTTCAAGATCCCTCAAGCATTTACATAAGCAGCATAAATGTGAGCCTACTCTTTTAACTTGAAGGCATTGCTCAACCATCAGAGCATGTACAAAGATCTTAGATCTTCAATGATAGATTCAGGTTAGATCGGGTGACAGTGGTGTTTGGGGTACCCGCTGTTCCTGCTCAGGCAGGAAGCCACCGCATCATATCCTGTTTGCTCAAGCTGTCTGCCTCATCTGAGAAGCCGAAAAGCCTGTGAGTTAATCCATCGGGAGTAATGTCCTCATATATCGCCCAGGCAGGACACGCAGGAGGCAGTAATTCATGAAGTAAACAGGAGCAGACACCGCCTCCCCTCGATTTATGACACCGTGATCATCGCTTGATCTCATCGCTAAATGCAACCGTCTCCTCTGAATCAGAATGAGGCAGCCCGTTATCAATATTGATGGCGGTTCATATCTCTGTTGACTTTGTTTTCAGCTCCCCATTTAACAGCGGTGTGGCAGGATCTCATTGGTACAGTACATCAATCTGGGCTGTGCTGAGTTGAAACCCTTAGAGGACACGCTGCCCTTATTAAGTTGGTGCCAAAACACCGGTCACGGCATTCTGGAGATTTAGTTTAACAAATCCCTGCGCCATCCGCATCCATCTGTCCCGGTCTCTCATCTCAGAAATCAAGCAGATGTGGAAATTAGCATTTTGAGACAATTCAGGTCTGACGCATAGCTTACCTGAGTGATTTAATAATGCAGAGAGCAAACTTTGCTCGAACTTGAATAGTCTGACCTTACAGGAGCCGCTCGTTTTTCCCATCTAGTCAAACAATTCATAGTTTGTTTTGTATATTAGGTGAAAGTGGGTACCTGTTGCCTCCCCTTGGGCATGGTGTCTTGGTGCAGACAGAGGGAGTCGCGTTCCCCTGTGTGGGCGGTGGTTAATTGTGTGAAGTCACCTGTGAAAGACTGAAGGCTGGGAGTAAATGAGCCAGGTGTCCCAGTCAGGGCCCTTGTGGCCTCACCTCTCTCTCCATTCCTGTCGCTCTCTCTCTCTCTCTCTCTCTCTCTCTCTCTTTCTCTCTTTCTCTCTCTCTCCCTCTCTCTCTCTGTGTTCACAGAATGCCATCACAGTTCAGCTAACACTCAATCACAATGCCGCACCGGCAGTAAGCATCGCATGCTAATGAGAGCTTAGCATCCAAACTCAGAAAGTTCCAACAGCTACTGTAGAACTTGATAGCAGAATTATAGGGAGCGTTATGAAGCCGATACTGCTGTTGTTGTCATTCACATTAGCGTATGACTGTTTTAACAGATAGGTAGAGGTACAGCTAACTTTTGTTGTAGCCATGTTAACCTGTGTCTCACTCTCTCGCCTCTTCTAGGTGGTGATGTGCCCGCTGTTGGCCATGCTGTTCTGGTGAGGTGTGGTGAACCCCTGCCAACATGAGGCTGGTGCCCGGGTCGCCTCGGCCCCTCCCCCTTCTGGCGGTGGGCCTGGCTCTAGCCCTCACAGCTCTCTTACCTCACCTGGCCATGGGAGCCACACCCTTCCCCCAGGACCTGGAGCCAATCAGCATTGTGGGAAGAGAACGTGAGTGCAAGCCCGTCATGATGCAATGTTGGTCCTTAGTTCAGGGAGGCTTGAAGTTCTGATATACCGTTAAAGGGCAGCATCTTGTCAGTTGTATGTACACATATTTTGTCAGTCTTCTTACAGATCTATGTCAATAATAGGATGACTTCTTCTAATACATAATTACCACTATCGAAATAAAATAGCTATACACTTGACTTCAGCTATATGACATAATACAGCATCTGATTGGGTACCTGTTGCCTCCCCTTGGGCATCCCATCAGTGGCACCTAATCAATAGGAGGTGTGGTGAGGAGGTCCTGGCGGTTACAGTCGCCAGCCCCATTAATTTATTTAAGAGGTGACTGAGACCGAGGCCTGGCGCTTTAATTGATCTATCTGGAGGAGTGTAACATGGCCATTAGCATAAATAGCCATGCTAATAGTTCTATATGTGGAGCCCATCTCAGGTGTAATGAGGGCCATTTGTCAGCAGGTCTGTAGGTGACAGGGCGTCAGAACCCCTCACAACTCCCCAGGATGTCCATTATGTATGGTAATACATCCAGTGCCCAGCTCCATCGCCGGAATCATCTCCCTCGCCGAGGCTAATTGGAGGAACTGTGTTAGAGGTTTCCGTGGCAATGCGGCGCCCAAAACTTTAAAGGAAGTGAAAGTGCTGAGGAGTAATAAAAGGGCTGAGTGGTCGCTAGGGGGAACTTATCCCTCTCCCTTTCTGCCCCACAGCGAATCACTGCTCTGCTTGACTCAGTCCAATCGCCCCTGAGTTAAAATCTTTAAACAGTCGAGTCGGATTTGCTTGGTTGGGGGAAAGATGTTTCCTCCGAGGAGATTGTAATTTCAGATAGTGCCCCATTTTAGAGGTCTTCTAATTCAGCTACACCTGCCAAGTTGGACGGGAGGGCCTAAGCCAGGGGTGTCAAACTCATTTGTGTTATATTTCCTATCCGTAAAAATATGCAAAAATGAGTCTATCCATAGTTTTTTAAATTTTCGATGCTCCATGACTGTCTAGTGATTATTACCGAGCTGGACAGACAAGAAAGTGTATGGATGTAGGTCTATTGACTGCAGTGATTATTAGAGAGCTGGACAGTCAAGAAACTGTATGAATATAGGTCCATTATCATTTGTATACAGTTAGTTTGGATTTGTTTTTAGTAATTTCAAAGTATATTGAGTTTGTTTCACCCCCAACCCCCCTTCCCCCCAATTCAAACCAACCACGGGCCGGATTGGACCCCCTCCGACCCACGGGCCATATGTTTGATACCCCTGGCCTGAGCAGTTAATGCAGCACTATGGGAGAGACGATGGTCTAGAGGCCAGCCTCGACGGGTTGATTTTGTTGCAGTGTTTTTGTTTTGTCTAGATCTTGTGATAAACTTAGGGTCTAGAGATGCTTCCCGCTCCCCCATCTAAAGTTATACAATTAAGTGTATTATCTCTAGCAGCACAGCATGGAGTCATGGGATAGCGTACAATAACAACCAGCTGACAGTTAGAACAAATTGCAATCTGGGCATCTGCAGCAAATGTGGGGCAAAGGAAAAAACTTTTTTTTTAAGAAACTGAGAAAGCATACTGCAATCAGAGGGTTATATCAAGTCAACCACCTACAGTGGGGAAAAAAAGTATTTAGTCAGCCACCAATTGTGCAAGTTCTCCCACTTAAAAAGATGAGAGAGGCCTTTAATTTTCATCATAGGTACACGTCAACTATGACAGAGAAATTGAGGGAAAAAAATCCAGAAAATCACATTGTAGGATTTTTTATGAATTTATTTGCAAATTATGGTGGAAAATAAGTATTTGGTCACCTACAAACAAGCAAGATTTCTGGCTCTCACAGACCTGTAACTTCTTCTTTAAGAGGCTCCTCTGTCCACTCGTTACCTGTATTAATGGCACCTGTTTGAACTTGTTATCAGTATAAAAGACACCTGTCCACAACCTCAAACAGTCACACTCCAAACTCCACTATGGCCAAGACCAAAGAGCTGTCAAAGGACACCAGAAACAAAATTGTAGACCTGCACCAGGCTGGGAAGACTGAATCTGCAATAGGTAAGCAGCTTGGTTTGAAGAAATCAACTGTGGGAGCAATTATTAGGAAATGGAAGACATACAAGACCACTGATAATCTCCCTCGATCTGGGGCTCCACGCAAGATCTCACCCTGTGGGCATGGGGGTGGAAGGCATGGGGGTGGAAACATCATGCTTTGGGGCTGTTTTTCTGCAAAGGGACCAGGACGACTGATCCGTGTAAAGGAAAGAATGAATTGGGCCATGTATAGTGAGATTTTGAGTGAAAACCTCCTTCCATCAGCAAGGGCATTGAAGATGAAACGTGGCTGGGTCTTTCAGCATGACAATGATCCCAAACACACCGCCCGGGCAACGAAGGAGTGGCTTCGTAAGAAGCATTTCAAGGTCCTGGAGTGGCCTAGCCAGTCTCCAGATCTCAACCCCATAGAAAATATTTGGAGGGAGTTGAAAGTCTGTGTTGCCCAGCGACAGCCCCAAAACATCACTGCTCTAGAGGAGATCTGCATGGAGGAATGGGCCAAAATACCAGCAACAGTGTGTGGAAACCTTGTGAAGACTTACAGAAAACGTTTGACCTGTGTCATTGCCAACAAAGGGTATAAAACAAAGTATTGAGAAACTTTTGTTATTGACCAAATACTTATTTTCCACCATAATTTGCAAATAAATTCATTAAAAATCCTACAATGTGATTTTCTGGATTATTTTTTCTAATTTTGTCTGTCATAGTTGACGTGTACCTATGATGAAAATTACAGGCCTCTCTCATCTTTTTAAGTGGGAGAACTTGCACAATTGGTGGCTGACTAAATACTTTTTTTCCCCACTGTATTTTCTCTTTCTCTCTCTTTCTCTCTCTCACGTACTCACGCTCTCAAGTACTCACGCTCTCAAACAATCTCTATTTTTGTGCTTGAATACACCCTATTTCCAGATTCACACACTTGATTTCTTTAGTGCCTGGTTTAGTTTTTCCCGGAACTCAGCTTGCTACTCTTTCCCCCTCCCAATGCAGACTCCTACCTGTACCCCAGCTTCCAGGGCCTCATGTCAGACAACGATACAGTACGACTGGGCCTGGACTTCCAGAGGATGCTCCGGATCAACCACATGCTCTACATCGCAGCCAGGTCAGTCAACATGCCTCTCATTATTATGCACTGGACTGCCTTACATTAACCCTGTATTGACAACTCTTCCTTGAATCCCTTTGTAGTATTTCTGTCATTGTATCAATCAACCTTATTGCATAGCTCCCCTTACATTCATATTGTCATACTATAGGTTCATTATGTAAAAGGTTCCTCAGGCTCAGCAAGAAGCCATTCTACATCAATAAGCCTGCGTTAAAGAGCTATGTGACTGACCCTAATCAATCTAATTTAGGCTAAGAACAGGCAGCTTGGGTGTTAAGTGTGGTGTGGTGGGGTTGGGTTTCAGGCAGAGACGAGAAATCTTCAAATGTTTTCTGACCTTTGACCTCTTACAGGGATCATGTGTTTGCTGTCAGTCTCAGCGCCTCCTCTGAGCAGATCGTCCCACAACAGGTAAGCCTTATGTTGTCTCACAAACACATCGTTTACATGAGTCAGGATCTCATGGGTCATAGACTATTATAAACTGTGTGGTTCGAGCCCTGAATGCTGATTGGCTGACAGCCAATTGGCTTCATCAATAAGTGCATTGATGTCGTCGTCCCCACAGTAACTGTACGTACCCCAACCAGAAGCCATGGATTACAGGCAACATCCGCACTGAGCTAAAGGGTAGAGCTGCCGCTTTCAAGGAGCAGGACTCTTACCCGGAAGCTTATAAGAAATCCCGCTAAGCCCACGACAAACCATCAAATAGGCAAAGCGTCAATACAGGACTAAGATCGAATCATACTACACCGGGTCCGACGCTCGTTGGATGTGGCAGGGCTTGCAAACTATTACAGACTACAAAGGGAAGCACAGCTGCGAGCTGCCCAGTGACACAAGCCTACCAGATGAGCTAAATTACTTCGAGGCAAGTAACACTGAAACATGCATGAGAGCATCAGCTGTTCTGGACGACTGTGTGATCACGCTCTCCGTAGCCATTGTGAGTAAGACCTTTAAACAGGTCAACATTCACAAGGCCGCAGGGCCAGACGGATTACCAGGACGTGTACACCGAGCATGCGCTGACCAACTGGCAAGTGTCTTCACTGACATTTTCAACCTCTCCCTGTCTGAGTCTGTAATACCAACATGTTTCAAGCAGTCCTTGTGCCCAAGAACACTAAGGTAACCTGCCTAAATGACTACCGACCCATAGCACTCACATCTGTAGCCATGAAGTGCTTTGAAAGGCTGGTCATGGCTCACATCAACACCATTATCCCAGAAACTCTAGATCCACTCCAATATGCATACCGCCCAAACAGATCCACAGATGATGCAATCTCTATTGCGCTCCACACTGCCCTTTCACACCTGGACAAATGGAACACCTATGTGAGAATGCTATTCATTGACTACAGCTCAGCATTCAACACCATAGCTAAGGACCCTGGGACTAAACACCTCCCTCTGCAACTGGATCATGGACTTCCTGACGGGCCGCCCCCAGGTGGTAAGGTTAGGTAACAACACATTCGCCATGCTGATCCTCAACACGGGGGCCCCTCAGGGGTGCGTGCTCAGTCCCCTACTGTACTCCCTGTTCACTCATGACTGCATGGCCAGGCACGACTCCAACACCATCATTAAGTTTGCCGACGACACAACAGTGGTTGGCCTGATGACAAAGATGACACAGCCTATAGGGAGGTCAGAGACCTGGCCGTGTGGTGCCAGGATAACAACCTCTCCCTCAACGTGATCAAGACAAAGGAGATGATTGTGGACTACAATAAAAAGAAGAGGACCGAGCACGCCCCCATTCTCATCGACGGGGCTGTAGTGGAGCAGGTTGAGAGCGTCAAGTTCCTTGGTGTCCACATCACCAATAATATAATATAATATGCCATTTAGCAGACGCTTTTATCCAAAGCGACTTACAGTCATATGTGCATACATTTTTACCAACAAACTAACATGGTCCAAGCACACCAAGACAGTCGTGAAGAGGGCACGACAAAACCTATTCCCCCTTAGGAGACTGAAAAGATTTGGCATGGGTCCTCAGATCCTCAAAAGGTTCTACTGCTGCACCATCGAGAGCATCCTGACTGGTTGCATCACTGCCTGGTATGGCAACTGCTCGGCCTCCGACCGCAAGGCACTACAGAGGGTAGTGCATATGGCCCAGTACATCACTGGGGCCAAGCTTCCTGCCATCCAGGACCTCTATACCAGGCGGTGTCAGAGGAAGGCCCTAAGAATTGTCAAAGACTCCAGCCACCCTAGTCATAATGTTCTTCTGCTACCGCATGGAAAGCGGTACGGAGCGCCAAGTCTGAGGTCCAAAAGCCTTCTTAACCCCAACTAAGACTCTAACTAATGCTACAGACTATTGCAATTCCTCCCCGGCCCCCCACATTACCTGGCTACCTAAACCTGTATATACTTGTTACCTTATTACTTTAATATCTATATGCTATTTATTTGTGCTTTTTCAAATTCCTACTAACCGTGCCCCCACAATTGATATCAGACCGTAACCCTGTATTAAACCTCATTGTTATTTTTACTGCTGCTAATTACTTGTAACTCATTGTTATTATTCGATATGGTATCTGGGGTATTTTTGGTTGGCCCAATTCATCGGGTAGGGTGGTCGGGCATTCCGCTTGTTAATGCTTAAAGGTACGCCTTGTAGTAATTTTAAGTGTAGTTCATGCTGCTGGTTCGGCGCAGGCATACAATCTCTGATTTTCTCTAACTTTAAAATGTTTATTAGTTTTTTTCTTCTTATACTGGTCAACAGTTCTTATAGCATAAAGCACCTCACTGGGTTCGATATAATAGAATATGTCGGTCAAAGTCCGTTTGAGACTCGCGTTGTGCGTCCTAGCACAGCCTTATCCGTTGGGAAAACTCGATTAAGGTTAATCAAGCTGGTGACCTAAGAGCTACTGTTTTGTTTCTTTCTCCCTCTCTTATATCTGCAGATAGACCAGTCCCTTCAAACAGAATCCATAGAATTTGTTTGACTCCTGGTTTTGAAGTGCTGTGTTTCCATTGAATATTTGTCAAACTCGATTGCACTTAAATAAAAAGCACTTTAAGGCCTGTGTTTGTGTTTGCTTGTCCCTATCGTATTTAGATTAATTTACAGCATGAGTCATCCCCATAAGGGACCCACTCAACATCAATGAGATCTAACGTTATTGACTTGTATTTGATTGCAGTGGAAATACATGAGAAGAATGATGTGTAGTGCAGAGAATTGTTGGAAGAGAAAGTCTGTATTTTCTAAAAAAAAACTTGAAGTTAGGAGAACTAAGAATATGTGCATTGCAAAGTACATAGTGCATTGGTCATCAGCCATAATACCAACCTGGCTTTCTCACTTTCCCATGCTTCTTATGTCTCAGTGAGATCATTAGTGTGCGCCTGAGTCATAATCAAAAACCTAGGGTCTGCTTCATCATGGATCTATTCCTTTTCTCTGGCCCAGTTTCAGTTCTAATCCCCAGTCTCCTCACCAGGCACATCATGATCCCCCATTCAGAGATACTGTATATCAAAGTCCTGGATGGGTATAAGCAATAAATAGGTAACTCCAGCTCACTCTGCCAGAGGGCAAGGGGGAACTATTAGCATATTGCTGACGTCCTATCTATCCTATCATGGTGGATCTTCAAGAGGGAAGTGAAGAGCTGGGGGGGGGGGGACATTTCACTCCACTTTAAGGCCCAGAAGGGTAACGGTTGAGTCTTGCGCCAAAAGAGGGATTTCACCTTAGTCTCTGGAGAAATCTTATTTCCCAGCATGCCCCATGGTGTTGATGAGTTTGGTGCTCCTGCAGGGTGGACAGCGGAGTCAGTAAATCACCCTCCCAGTCAGTCGGTAGTGGAACAGTGGATCTGCACTGGTGGGCAGTGCATTAAACCTTCAACCAGGCAACCTTGTTAACAAGTTGATGGATCTCTTCCTATTCACTCAACTAGCGGAGGCCCACTGGGGGGACCAATGCTAGGAGATAAGGACGTTGAGGAGGACCAGGAGGACCATAGATAGCTAGTATCAAGCCAATCCACTTCCCATAGGAATGCATTGCAGATTCCTTTCTGATTCCTTGATCTTCTTGTTGGTCTAATTAACCATAGAGATGTATTATTGTTAAGTACAGGTGGATTGTGATGAATTGTATGGGAGATGGATTGTAGAGGAACAACAGTCTTTAGTTGCACGCTGACAGAGTTAGACACAGCTCCTCAGGTGTTTCAGATGTTTTTGTTTGTTTGTCAGAAGCTTTATTGAACGTGATGAGATTTTCATCACAGCTGTCTGCTAATAGCACTTGAATGGCTGGGTGAAAAAAGTGTCTCTTTCTTGCTCTGACAGTTGGTTGTCTGTCTGTGTGTTCCAGAAATTGACTTGGAAGACAAAGGACGTGGACAAATGCACAGTGAGGGGGAAGAACAGTGTGAGTATCTCTCTCCCTTTCTCTCTCTCTGTTTCTCTCCCACTCTCCCACTGTCTGTTCTGCGATGTGGGAGGGTAGCACTAACAATAGCACAGATTGCTTATCAAAATCAGCACCACAGGTATCTGTAGTTCCAGAACCAGTCTCTGGCACAGGCAGCGTCAGCCTCCCAGAGCTCTAGTGAAACCATAGAGATCAGCACAGGGATTATGGTAATGACGAGAATAGAACCAGAAGTATGACAGAGAGGTGTGTGTGTGTGTGTGCACCCTTAGCAAAATGCCATTCCGTGCATAATAAGCTGTGCAATGACACTGCAGGTGGGGTGATAACGCCAGGAGTCACATTGCCGTCCCCTGAAACCCAGCTGTTTCCCTTTGACAGGATGAGTGCTACAACTACATCAAAGTTCTGGTCCCACGCAACGACGAGACGCTATTTGCCTGCGGTACCAACGCCTTTAACCCGACCTGCCGCAACTACAAGGTAGGACACTACACCTCAGTCACCTTTTCATCTAAAGCCTCCAGCCCCATACCCAGCACTGTTCTGAAACAAATTGGAGTAAATAAGCTTAGTTTAAAAAAGTGTTGGACCAATGTCAAAGTGTTATTTTCTGCAGCCTGGGGCGGTTTAGCGGTTAAGGGTTGGTGCCTTCAGAGCATATGCCTACAGGTGTTGGTGTGGGCGTCCTGACTTTCTCTTAACTTCTTTCAGAGGGAAAAAGTGTCCTCTCTTTATTTACAGTATAAAATCATCAAGTTGACATTGATGTGCACAGATGGACCCCTATAGGACTCCAGATTGCAGAACCACTTCAAAGTAGTGCTGCTATACTGGATGTTGATGGAGAAACATGTTGACTCAAGAGGTTGGCAGCGGTCTGTTGACTGAACACAGATCCAGCATGATAATAAGTCTTTATTCACACATCTGAGGAATAAACTGCAACCGCAGATGATTTGAGATCATGTCATCCTCCGAGGAAGAGAGTGGGGGAAAGAGAGTGGGGGAAAGAGAGTGGGGGAAAGAGAGTGGGGGAAAGAGAGTTGGGGAGGGGAGAGCGAGAACAAAACATGCCAGAACACTAGAGTCAGAATCCCAGGGGAGCCACTACTTTAGTTCCATAAAGTAACTCACGCCACCTACTCTCCATGGCTTTCTGACTGCTCAAATGATTAACAACCCAAAGTGTGCCAGAGAGAGCTGTCGGCTAAGTGGAAACATACAATAGGAAAATAGCGATACGTTAATCGTGACAACGGTGCGCAGATAGACTCTCACTCTCCAGGATGTCTACCAGTACAAAAGAAGTCAGATTGAGCTGAGGAGAGATGACATCACGGTTCTGGGCAATGATTCACAGTGTGCTTTTTGGATAAGGGGACGTAACGTCTACTGTCTGAGAAGTCCAACGGGGAGCTGGCTAAATCCATACAGACCACGGCAGAGGCTTTACCTTTTCCGCCATAGACTCCCAATGGAAGACGTTGATTTACACTTTATCCAGAACAAATTCCTCTCCCTGTCCCGTTCCCTCCCGGCTCTGAAAAACCGGGAGCGATGACTGCCCGGAGAACTGGGAAGAGTGTGCTGAAGTGTAAATCATATCACGCAATCTGTCTGCATCATTCCTTGGAAATACTGAGGAGGGCAGTGGGGTCAGGAGAGGGTGTTAGGGTGAAGGGGATTGGATTGTGGGTGTGGACGGGTGGAAGATGTTTGCACATTTTCCATGTACATTCATCACCACAAAACACTCTGCCCAATGAGCCAGCTGATCAAAGACAGAGGTTGTGTGACCAGGTGGTAGCTAGACCAGGAGGTGAAAACCTGTAACCTCTAGTCTAAATCACACTGTACTGTAGTACTGAAGCCCCAGAACCATGGTTTAGCAGACAGATGAGAGATGTAACGGTAACAACCACAGTAACAATGGTGGATTTCTCACTTAGAGAGTGTACCCATAGGGAAAATGAGCAGTGACACAGCATTAAATATAAACACACATGTTGACGGGCTGTCACTGTGTGTGTTTGTGAAGGCAGCTGCGTGCTGGAGGTGCTGAGCATGACCTCTCCTCTGGGTCGCATTCTGCCCCCACCCCAGCGGGATTCACACGTATTGTCTGAGCCTAGGTTTTACGACCTTGTTAACGGTGGGGCAGGAATAGCTGCTAAAGATCTGTGGTTAAGAGATACTGTATCCTCACAGTGCCGCCAGTGTAGCAGCCATACCACAGGCTGACAGGAGTGTTACTCCTGACCGTTTGACCTCACTGTTGTTACAATGCAATGTAAAACGTATCAAATAAAAGGTATCTTTATGACAAGTGTTCCTATTTATTCAACAGGATTGACTAGAGGCATATTCTGTCCATGACTTTAAGGGGTCGACTTTATATCTTGGCAGTTAGCAGTAAAGCTAAAATTATATAAAACAGAACAATACTCAAGTTTGGACTGAAATCGATTTTTCAGTAAGGGGAAAATAGTAAACTTAACAACTGCAAACACTGACTTAGTTATTTTAGTTGAGGTTTTTCAATATAATTGAATTGCATTTGAGTTACACTCCTATAAATAGCTTTATTAAGTATCCCCTTCCCTCTCTTCTTTCTTCCCTCTCTCTCCCAGATGTCCACACTGGAACAGGATGGTGAGGAGGTGGTGGGTCAGGCCCGCTGTCCCTTTGAGTCTCGCCAATCCAACGTCGGCCTCTTCGCTGGTGAGTTGCTTTGGACAGAGACAGAGCGAAATGTCAGCTGGGGGCAGCAACTTGATCAATAAACCTGCCCTCAATCTTGCCAATTTGCCAGTGACATTTAGACGTAGTTCACAGAGTGTTATTGAGAGCAGCACAGCCCCTACATCAAGTGTAGCCATGAGATAAAAATACACATTGGGTGGCATCGGTTCCTAATCTTCATTGCAATTGTGTTCATTTGAAAAAAGCACGCCTTTCTTAAGTTAGTTATTTTGTTCCTCTCAGGTGGCGATTTCTACTCGGCCACCATGACAGACTTCCTGGCGAGTGATGCAGTGATTTACCGTAGTCTGGGAGAGAGCAGCCCGGTGCTTCGTACCGTGAAGTACGACTCCAAATGGCTACGAGGTGAGCCCCTGGCCTTTGCCTCAGGTCTTAATTTGAACCAACTTGTGAATTTACCTTTTGAATCTTCCTCAGAATCTTCCTTCTGAAATCTTCTCACTTTTGCATTGCCAAATATCATTATCTATTTGTATGCAGTACGTTACATATTAGAGAGGTATCTCATTCTAAATCAGTGTGTGGTACCTACTTGAGTGATGTTTCCTACCAAAACACTGACTGCCTAATGCAATATTGTTGTGAATACCAAATAGTCAGTGTTACTGTTTCATATTTCTCCCTTTGTCTCCTCAGAGCCTCATTTCCTCCATGCCATTGAGTACGGGAACTATGTGTACTTCTTCTTCAGTGAGATTGCTGTGGAGTACACCACACTTGGCAAGGTAAGAGAGTTGTAATTCAATTTCACAGAATGGGGCGGTAGGTAGCCCAGCGGCTAAGGACCTGTAGCCGAAAGGTGGCCGGTTCGTTAGCCGGGCGCTGGAAAATAGGGCAGAATTGATCTGGCAACTGGAGGGCTGCTGGGTTCACATCCTCAAGACAATCCCCTACCATTGGGCCCTTGAGCAAGGCCCTTAACCCCCTAGAGTCCATTTCTGTGGCCCCGCTGAAAACTAATTACCATAATAAAAAAATATCCATCAAAATCCGTCAGTTTAAGCTAGAGATATGTTTTTTTGCATTTCGTGCGTCTCAATCCACTGTATCCGCTGATGTCGCACTTCCGCATCTGCAGTGAAAGGTGGCAGAGCTAGTGCGGTGTTTGTCTTGATTCGGTCTTATGTAGCAAAATTTGAAATTTTGTTTTTTACATTGGCTAAAAGCAGAGACACAGAGCTACAAAATGGTATATCATACACTGCATTTGAGGAACAATGGAAAAGTAAATCTGCTTTGAAAGTTGATAAACTTGTAATCTCACTTTTGAGAAAATGGCCTTTGAATGTTTTGGTACCTACTTTGTCTACACCCATTCAGCATCGTTCACACCCTTTTAAGCTTTAGCCCCACCCATCACACCACCACCACCATTCAGAGGTCACACTGGACGCTCTGGCCGATGAGTAGGGTTGATCGGAGCGTTCTGACCTCACAACGGCAGTCAAGCACCCAAGCTAACTAGCTAACATTGGCTAGCTACTTCCAGACACAAATGAGAGAACACCCCACTGACCATTTTACTCGCCCTAGCAGAGCTAGTTAGGCTGTTTTCATGTTATCCAGAGCGTTGGTGACCGTAACTGTGCTGCTGGCAACAATTGAATTATGCTTTTTTGCCGACGTTTACTGACACCGGTATATTCAACAGGTGTTGAGTGTTCGTAAATTCATCAGTTATTCTGCGCTCTGGCATACGAACACACCCGAAATGGTTACTTGCATAGTGGAGTCTTTTGTTAAGACATGTAGCTATGTAAACAATTAACCATAATCCCAACTCATGATGTTACTACCCTGCATAAAAGCCGCGTTAGACAGGATTACCTACTCATACTGACCAGCTCAAATAGACAAAAGCGTGCTATATGGCAGACCAATCCGAACTCCTCTCTCGGCATGTCCAGCCCACTCATTATCTCAGCCAATCATGGCTAGTGGGAAGGTTGCTGTCTTTTTCTGTGGCTAAACCAACTAGGCTCGTAATTTAACCATTTTATTCGTATTTACAGATGGTATACAAGTTTGTTATAAAAGCACATAAAAGTTCACATGTTCCAGAAGGCATTTCTGCAAAAAAAACGCATTTTGATAAAAATAAAAGTTTATGTTCAAATGGCTCTCCTGTGAAGTAGTGACCCGTGACATATGCCAAGTCTGTGGAAAGGTGAGTCTCTCACAAACACGTACGTTGGTTGTTTTGCTCTAGGATGCCCACAAGCCTCACAAGACTCGTCTGAAGGTACCCCGATACCAGTTTAAAAAATGAATGGAAGTATATGTGGAGATAGTTTAGTGCCAAAAGAAGGGGTCAAATACATGTTATAAATATATATACAGTGGGGGAAAAAAAGTATTTAGTCAGCCACCAATTGTGCAAGTTCTCCCACTTAAAAAGATGAGAGGCCTGTAATTTTCATCATAGGTACACGTCAACTATGACAGACAAATTGAGGAAAAAAATCCAGAAAAACACATTGTAGGATTCTTTATGAATTTATTTGCAAATTATGGTGGAAAATAAGTATTTGGTCACCTACAAACAAGCAAGATTTCTGGCTCTCACAGACCTGTAATTTCTTCTTTAAGAGGCTCCTCTGTCCTCCACTCGTTACCTGTATTAATGGCACCTGTTTGAACTTGTTATCAGTATAAAAGACACCTGTCCACAACCTCAAACAGTCACACTCCAAACTCCACTATGGCCAAGACCAAACAGCTGTCAAAGGACACCAGAAACAAAATTGTAGACCTGCACCAGGCTGGGAAGACTGAATCTGCAATAGGTAAGCAGCTTGGTTTGAAGAAATCAACTGTGGGAGCAATTATTAGGAAATGGAAGACATACAAGACCACTGATAATCTCCCTCGATCTGGGGCTCCACGCAAGATCTCACCCCGTGGGGTCAAAATTATCACAAGAACGGTGAGCAAAAATCCCAGAACCACACGGGGGGACCTAGTGAATGACCTGCAGAGAGCTGGGACCAAAGTAACAAAGCCTACCATCAGTAACTCACTATGCCGCCAGGGACTCAAATCCTGCAGTGCCAGACGTGTCCCCCTGCTTAAGCCAGTACATGTCCAGGCCCGTCTGAAGTTTGCTAGAGTGCATTTGGATGCGGATTGGGAGAATGTCATATGGTCAGATGAAACCAAAATAGAACTTTTTGGTAAAAACTCAACTCGTCGTGTTTGGAGGACAAAGAATGCTGAGTTGCATCCAAAGAACACCATACCTACTGTGAAGCATGGGGGTGGAAACATCATGCTTTGGGGCTGTTTTTCTGCAAAGGGACCAGGACGACTGATCCGTGTAAAGGAAAGAATGAATGGGGCCATGTATCGTGAGATTTTGAGTGAAAACCTCCTTCCATCAGCAAGGGCATTGAATATGAAACGTGGCTGGGTCTTTCAGCATGACAATGATCCCAAACACACCGCCCGGGCAACGAAGGAGTGGCTTCGTAAGAAGCATTTCAAGGTCCTGGAGTGGCCTAGCCAGTCTCCAGATCTCAACCCCATAGAAAATCTTTGGAGGGAGTTGAAAGTCCGTGTTGCCCAGCGACAGCCCCAAAACATCACTGCTCTAGAGGAGCTCTGCATGGAGGAATGGGCCAAAATACCAGCAACAGTGTGTGAAAACCTTGTGAAGACTTACAGAAAACCTTTGACCTGTGTCATTGCCAACAAAGGGTATATAACAAAGTATTGAGAAACTTTTGTTATTGACCAAATACTTATTTTCCACCATAATTTGCAAATAAATTCATTAGAAATCCTACAATGTGATTTTCTGGAGAAAAAAAATCTCATTTTTTTCTGTCATAGTTGACGTGTACCTATGATGAAAATGACAGGCCTCTCTCATCTTTTTAAGTGGGAGAACTTGCACAATTGGTGGCTGACTAAATCCTTTTTCCCCCACTGTATATATATGGTTTCCTGATCTTTCTTATCCCTCTCAGATATAGGACAGACACTTCAGAACAAACTTTATTTTGCTATTTTTTGGGGACTATCTGTTGTTCCATGTAGTGAATCTGTTATTCAATGTGTTTGTATGGGCTAATAGCAGTAAGGCCAAATTCAATTTTTCATCAAATAATTAGTTTGAAAATCCTATAAATCTTCCTCTTACCTTTCCCCATTCTCTCTCTCCCCCTCAGGTTGTGTTCTCCAGAGTGGCTCGTGTATGTAAGAATGACAACGGAGGTTCTCCCAGGGTTCTAGAGCGTTACTGGACGTCGTTCCTCAAAGCGCGGCTCAACTGCTCGGTGCCGGGCGATTCCTTCTTCTACTTTGACGTTCTGCAGTCGCTGACCAACGTGCTGCAGATCAATCACAGACCAGCCGTGCTGGGGGTCTTCACTACACAGGCCAACAGGTCAGTCACAGTACCAGGCGGCAACATTACAGACGGCCATACAGATATACAGTACATACTCATACAATGAGTATAATGAGATTTTACTGTACCTCTTTTTATAGAAAATATAAAGAAAAAAACAGCCAAAAGCTTTTACAGAAGATAATGCTCACATTTGCAAATCATACCCCTTGATTAAAAGCCTATTTTATAAGATTGTTGTTTAATGTCCTTTACAACCTTGGGCAGCAGTCTTGAATGCTTTTATAGCTATACATTCCATTATAACCTGGGCTAATAATGGCCTTTCCCATGACAGATGTCTCTGTTGTTTTCCTAATCAGTATCACAGGCTCAGCAGTGTGTGCATTCTACATGGATGACATTGAGAAGGCCTTCAACGGGAAGTTCAAGGAGCAGAGGAACAGTGAGTCAGCCTGGACGCCCGTGCCTGAGGACCAAGTGCCCAAGCCCAGGTAAGACCGACACATGTGAGTGGGACCTTTGACAGCCTCAGTCCAGACATATTTACTTTATTCCAGTGTCAACACTGTCAACAAAAGTTTTGCATCTACAATATTATATTCCCTCAGCGTGAATGCTTAGCAAATCTATCCCACTGACTTTTTGAAACTCCACTGACTAACTTCTGCCCCTCCTCTCGGTCCCACAGACCAGGCTGCTGTGCCGGCGACGGCTCTGCCGCTGCCTACAAGTCGTCCACGACCTTCCCCGACGACACCCTGACCTTCATCAAGAACCACCCCCTGATGGACGAGGCAGTTCCCTCCGTCAACCACCGGCCCTACTTCACACGCACAACCAGCAGGTAGCTACAGCAGCAGGGTGGATGGAGGGATGAAAAGATGGATAGATAATAGGGGAAATTGATGGGTGGAAAACTATTTCATCGATCTCCTTGGGGAAATGGATAACAGTTGGTCCCTTGTCTCAACATGAAAAGCCCATTAAATATAAAAGTTAGACGCAGTCAGGATGGGGTCTTCCAAAACACCACATCAAATATAGACCCAAGCAGGATAGGGCCTCCCCAAATTATAGATCTAACCAGAAAGGGGTCTGTGAAAAGCTGAAAAGCACATCAATTGAAGACAACGTCCGGAAGGGGTCCACCAGACTAACACAGGCAATAGCGCCAGCGGCTCATTGAGAAGCCCAGCCATGTAGTGGTGCTGAAGGTAGAGTAGGTGTCAGAGGGCCAGACAGCCCCCTAGCTTGGACCCCTGCTGTGATTTACATGGTGAAGTCGAGCCAGTCTGACAGACAACCAGGCGTCTTCACACAGCGGAGGGAGGGTACGCGGTCTGTCTCACATCTGCCTTCCAAACGTCACATCTGCTTCAGAACTCTCCAGAGACGAGCTGAACGGAACTTTAACGATGAATACATCACATTGTTGAGTCATTTAGCTAGTGTAGTGCCAGTCAGTGTGATGTTTTGAGTAAACAACAACATGTCGCCAACTTGTATGGGACTGAAGGAAAGTTGAGAGCAGCTGTACAATGGTTTTACTAACAATAGTGTCCTGCATAATCTTACACAGTGTTGTCACATTGCAGTGCATGCACACACTCTGATAATAATTCACATCTTTAATTGCAGATGCTTTCTCTTCGGAGATATCATCATGTTAACCCGAACCACAACCCTGTTTGTGTCCATCCAGGTTCAAGTTGACCCAGCTAGCAGTGGATACGTCAGCTGGGCCCTATAAGAACCACACGGTGCTGTTCCTGGGGAGCGAGGACGGCAGGGTACTGAAGATCCTGGCCAGCACCCAGCCCAACGCCTCCTTCAGCACACAGCTACTGGAGGACATCGATGTCTACAACCCCACCAAGTCAGCCTCCCTTTCTCAATTCTCTTTCAGCTATATGATACAAACGATCTGTTTTATAATACAGTGCACTCCTCTCATAACATTCACATCTATTGGTTCAGCAACAAAAAAAAGTCCCTAATGTTTTTACCACTGTAAGAGGATGATTATTGTATGTGATGCTTCCAATCCGAGTCCGCTGTAGTAAGACAGAGATATGTGTTGTGGTGCTGTTAGTACGTGTCCTGCACAGCTTTTCAACTCCACTCTCATTTGCATACAGTCTCCCAGGATGCTGTTGTTGTCACCACCCATCAGCATAATTTTCGGAAATAATGAGTCGTGTTTGATGTTTCCCCTTTCCTAGATGTAACGTCCGCGGAGAGGACAGACGGGTTCTGGGATTGGAGCTGGACAGGGAACATCACGCCCTGTTTGTGGCCTTCTCCAGCTGTGTGATCCGAGTACCTCTGAGCCGCTGCAGTGACTATGGCTCCTGCAAGAAGTAAGTGACACCCCGTCTATTATATAAAGCTATTACTGCACTGTTAACAGTTGCCAAGTGTGTGTTAATATTGCAGTGGAATTCTGTTTGCTGCTATATAGGCTTCCTTCCCCCAGTGCTACTGTGGTGATGTGTAGTTACAATGTGACTTACAATCAATCATGTTGTTGCTAAATAGCTTCCTTGTAGTCAGAGCTACTGCTGGAGTTGATATGTTTTTGTCCGAGCTAGTGTACTCTACAATTTTGTCCTATTTTGGGATTGTGGAGGAAAGTCCCCTCCCCCACCCCAACACCAAGAAAAACATTTTGTATAAAATTTGAACAGGGACGTGTATCCCCCATAGCATGCTAAACCCTCATTGCGAGCCTTAGAGAAGTGCTCAACAGCATTTATGCACAAATTGGAACCAGCTGATTGGCGGTAGGCCAACCCACGGCCAGGGTTTCAACGCGGCGAGGAGAAAGTGGATAGGGCCTGTCTCACTTTAGCCCCTCCATCGCTGGATGCCTCTGAAACAGCCCAGCGCACCTCAACCAGGGATTAGGGGCCCCTTAAGCTCCATGATGCTTTGCAGGAGTCAGGTGTCAGGCCCATATCCTCCTCTCCACACTCTCCCCATCTGTCTGCCTCCAAATTAGGTTTGGTTGGTTTGGTCTCTCTCTCCCCCCTTACTGTAGCCTCTATCTTACACAAAGAAAAAACGGTTTTCTATCGCTATCTCTCGCTGCCGCTGCTGTTTCTATTAGGTTTCAGAAATTGATATGGTTCTGACAGCAGAAACACATTGAATGAAATATATAGAGAAAATAGATTTTGTGAAAAAGATGGCGAAGAGAGATATCAAAAGTTGTGTGAAATTCTCAACTCTCTGGCCCACACAAAATGTTTATACATTTTTTATTTCTTTTTAGTTATTAAAGCACAAAGGTTTCAAAAAGTTGTCACATTTGCATCTGTTTTGCCTCACAGTGCTGGGTTAATGAGAACCCCCAGACCAGGGGTGATATTCTCAGTAAAGAACAGTACGTCAGCAAAACTGACAAGCCACAGGTGGGGAAGAGACATAATGAATTTACACCACAGAAAGAGGAGAGATTAGACATGGTGGACCTTTCTTCCATACAGACAGTTTCTAATGAATGGTTCCATACCCATATATATATATATATATATATATATATATATATATATATATATATATATATATATATACACACACACACACACACACACACACACACACACACACACACACACACACACACACAGTGGGGAAAAAAAGTATTTAGTCAGCCACCAATTGTGCAAATTCTCCCACTTAAAAAGATGAGAGAGGCCTGTAATTTTCATCATAGGTACACGTCAACTATGACAGACAAAATGAGAAAAGATAATCCAGAAAATCACATTGTAGGATTTTTTATGAATTTATTTGCAAATTATGGTGGAAAATAAGTATTTGGTCAATAACAAAAGTTTCTCAATACTTTGTTATATACCCTTTGTTGGCAATGACACAGGTCAAACGTTTTCTGTAAGTCTTCACAAGGTTTCCACACACTGTTGCTGGTATTTTGGCCCATTCCTCCATGCAGATCTCCTCTAGAGCAGTGATGTTTTGGCGCTGTCGCTGGGCAACACAGACTTTCAACTCCCTCCAAAGATTTTCTATGGGGTTGAGATCTGGAGACTGGCTAGGCCACTCCAGGACCTTGAAATGCTTCTTACGAAGCCACTCCTTCGTTGCCCGGGCGGTGTGTTTGGGATCATTGTCATGCTGAAAGACCCAGCCACGTTTCATCTTCAATGCCCTTGCTGATGGAAGGAGGTTTTCACTCAAAATCTCACGATACATGGACCCATTCATTCTTTCCTTTACACGGATCAGTCGTCCTGGTCCCTTTGCAGAAAAACAGCCCCAAAGCATGATGTTTCCACCCCCATGCTTCACAGTAGGTATGGTGTTCTTTCGATGCATTCTTTGTCCTCCAAACACGACGAGTTGAGTTTTTACCAAAAAGTTCTATTTTGGTTTCATCTGACCATATAACATTCTCCCAATCCTCTTCTGGATCATCCAAATGCACTCTAGCAAACTTCAGACGGGCCTGGACATGTACTGGCTTAAGCAGGGGGACACGTCTAGCACTGCAGGATTTGAGTCCCTGGCGGCGTAGTGTGTTACTGATGGTAGGCTTTGTTACTTTGGTCCCAGCTCTCTGCAGGTCATTCACTAGGTCCCCCCGTGTGGTTCTGGGATTTTTGCTCACCGTTCTTGTGATCATTTTGACCCCACGGGGTGAGATCTTGCGTGGAGCCCCAGATCGAGGGAGATTATCAGTGGTCTTGTATGTCTTCCATTTCCTAATAATTGCTCCCACAGTTGATTTCTTCAAACCAAGCTGCTTACCTATTGCAGATTCAGTCTTCCCAGCCTGGTGCAGGTCTACAATTTTGTTTCTGGTGTCCTTTGACAGCTCTTTGGTCTTGGCCATAGTGGAGTTTGGAGTGTGACTGTTTGAGGTTGTGGACAGGTGTCTTTTATACTGATAACAAGTTCAAACAGGTGCCATTAATACAGGTAATGAGTGGAGGACAGAGGAGCCTCTTAAAGAAGAAGTTACAGGTCTGTGAGAGCCAGAATTCTTGCTTGTTTGTAGGTGACCAAATACTTATTTTCCACCATACTTTGCAAATAAATTCATAAAAAATCCTGCAATGTGATTTTCTGGGTTTTTTTCCTCAATTTGTCTGTCATAGTTGACGTGTACCTATGATGAAAATTACAGGCGCCTCTCATCTTTTTAAGTGGGAGAACTTGCACAATTGGTGGCTGACTAAATACTTTTTCCCCCACTGTGTATATATATATATGTGTGTGTGTGTGTGTGTGTGTGTATATATATGTGTGTGTATATATATATATATATACACACACACACAGCTCTGGTGGTCCCATAGGTGAGAGGAACACCTGTGTCTTCATCATGTCCTGACAGGCACAGAGAAAAGGAGCCAGCGGGGATGCTTCAAGTCTCCCCTGCAGATGGGGGTCATTACCTTTAACTCTGACATGTTGTCAATGCTGGTCTGGTGGAGACCCCTCCGCCCTCCCACTCTACACGGCCCTCTGTATTGTAAACCATGCTGAGCATGACTGACCTAACGTATTGTAAGCATGACTGACCTAACTCTCAGTCCTCCTCTCTGGCTCCCTACATCTCTTCTACGTACTGGCCTGTTAGTTGGGCTGTGTCACTGAGTCTCTGTCCAAGACTGCCTCTGGCTACCAGACACCCTGGGGGCTCTCAACAAACACTGCTGTCTGTAGCCTAACAGACTGACAGCCAGTCACACTACATTGACCATCTCTCATATTCATCTCTGCCTCTTTCTGAGCTCCTAGATAGGAGAGTTACAAGCTAGGCTCACCTGGCAGTTGAGGTTTTTCTGTTAGGTAAAATGACAGTCTGGTGTGACTGTGGCCTGTGATGTTAATGAGACACTCCAGAATATGGGGGTGTTGATAGGTGAATAGATATCACATATCACTTTAGGTCATGCCTCACGAAAGAGTCGTCATTAAAATATGTATTTGGTCTCTACTACTTTTTGATAGTGTTCACACACCGAACTCTGACTGTCTGTCTCGCAGGAGCTGTCTGTCCTCGAGGGACCCTTACTGCGTGTGGCAGAGGACGGGGAGCTGTGCCACGGTGGTGCCCGGATTCAGGTGAGTCACAGATGTCGCATACGGACCACCCCACCACGCAGCCAATCATAAGAGAGCAGGTTTAGAGGCCAAGTACCAAACCATCCCTAGCCCCTACTCTTTGGTCCTTGTTTTGTTGAGTACTATGTGTCAAATATTACTGTTGAGTCTTCGATCAGAAAAATAAAAATTTTACTGACAATTTATCAACATCAAATTGCCATAGACATGACCTTGCATGAAACATACACTAAATGAATGAAGTAGCAGTAGCTTCATAGTACTCTGCAAACCACTTCCTTGTATGCTTTCAATAATCGATACCTAATCTGGAGTTTGACTTGCCCAGATTGTCAACGTGAAGAATAAAAACATTGGTCTGTCGGCTCCATTTCACATATAGGATGAGCATCCATCTTGTTTATTTCTAAGTGGCGGACATACATCACATCTGCAATCACTCGGAAATTAAACCCCAGATACCCGCTTGGAGGGGTCGTGGGTCACTCTGGGGTAGAACTGAGAGGCATCGATCAAAATGACCTCGGTGTAATTGACTGATCCATTCTGATGAACTGGAAGGAAGCCATTTGACACTTAGAGCTATCGACTGGCTCAGCATCAGCGCCAAGCAGGGTGTGTGTGTGCAAGCAAAAGGCCAATCAATTCCACTGTCTGAGACTCCTCCCCCCCTGACCCACTGTCTTTCTCTTTCTGCACTGTCGCATGGAATCGAAAGTAATGTTCAGCTGGGTGGATTTCAATCATGTCGTGTGTACCTCACTGTCTGCCGAACGGAGGGAGTGAGGGAGGGAAAGAGAGAGGTAGAAGAGGAGAAGCAGTAGAAGGTACTATTTCACCTCCAATGTTGCCTCCTGACACTCAGGGACTGGGCTGTCGCTGTTCCACTGGTTTTCAGTGTGGCCTTAAATCACCTGCTGTAGGTATTTCCTTCTGCAAACATGGGCTGTAAACTTAGTGTGGATAGGTGGACAGACATCACAGTAAAGGCAGCTGCCACTGTCCTGATAGTCACATGGACTGCTTCAAATGGATTATTCTGCGGGGGTTGACTTATTGCATATCCTGTGGTTGGCCACCCATGGGTTATATTTGCCATAGCTTCACAGCCAGAGGTTAATGGAATATTCAAAAAGTGCGTATGTGCGTGTGCGTGTGACGGTGCGTACGTGCTGGGCAAGTAATCAGAATTGGACTGAGGCTTGATTTATCACGTTTTTAACCAGTGGGACAGTGCCATGCAGCAAGCCAATGGAGTGGAACCGAAGAGATTGGCAAATATTATACATGCAGTCAGTAGAGCTATTCCACTGTGCCTGCTCTGTCCACGTCAGAGAGAGAGAGAGGTGATATGGTGTGAAATAGGCAGAACCCGAGCATGGCCATGCCTCCAGAACAGATGCAACAGCTCATAAAGGCTGTGATGGGGCTGGACCGGAGAGCAACAGGGGACACATCCACCTCTACTCTCTCCTCCCTTACTCTCTCGCTCCAGAGGTGGCATAAATTCTGCCGGCTGCTTTGGGGGGGTTGAGCCAGAGGTGAAGCGTTTCCATGGTTTCCTGTCTCTCTCCCATCACTGTCAGCGCTTGGGGACATGGCGTGCCAAAGAGGCCAGTCTAAGACTCTCTCCTTGGCTCTTTCTCTCTCACACTCTAAGAAGAAATACATACGTTTATATAACAGACAGAAAGGAAATGGAGGCATATGGTAATACTGGTTACTAGTTGTAGTCCACAAACACAGACACACATTCGCACAAAATCCCCCAGGCCGACCTATTCACTCACAAACAAACCCACTCTGCTGTGGTAATACAAATAATGCTATTGGCTGTCAGTGGGCCCACTGATGAGCATAGAAAGATAAGTGAAGATATTATTTCATTGAGTTTATTATTTCTCCCCTCTGAATTCCCTGTTTTATTTTTTCACTCTTGATTTGCTCACTGGGTCTGTATTCACTCATCTAGGCCTGCTTTTCATTTAGATGTAATTTGTTTTTGGCCGCGCCTGGAAAGTCTATGTGTAGATGTGTGTGTTTGATTGCCAGTGCGTGACTGCTATACGTGTGTGTGTGTGTGCGTGCGTGCGTGTGCATGTGTGTTTGCATATGTGTGTGTGAATGTTCATGAGTATTTATATCTGTTATTTTCTTTGATTGCCTGCACAGTCGATACTGCATCGTAGAAGATTCAGTGTCATTGATGTTATGTTCTGCTTGACTAAGGGGCCACTCGCTCCACTGTGCATCAACGCAATCACATTACTCACCAGGGGGAATGTATGATTTCTGAATGTGTACAAGCCTTTGATTCATAGAAGAAAGATGACGTGTCCAATGCACTGGAGCACAACCAAACCTAAATAAATATGTTTAATACTAGAGGTACTAAATGTCTTACAAGAATGCAGTGTTTCTTTTGCTGTATAAGAGAAAAAGTGGAGAACCAGAGAATGGAGTATCAGCATGGATGCAACTGGTGGTAAAACATTATGCTAGCTAGGTGATAGCACCTCGAAACATCCATTTGAATTTGGACTCCGGTGCATTAACAAAACAGTCAGCCTGACCTTGCAGAGACAAAACCAATTAAATGGTTTTCTTTTGCAGCACCATTTATTTAAGTCTTTGTCATCAACAGAACCATTTTGGAAAGCTTGACAATGTACCCAATTAATGAAAGCGGAGGTTGTGTTTAAATGGTGAAAGAGGAATGACGCATACACGCTGACAGGCCGTTTTGTCCTCTTCTGTTTTGTTTTTCCTCAGGGGCGGATTTGAGCAGGATGTGGAGAATGGCTACCCTCACTACCCAGATAGCTGCCACGGTAAGGTGGAACAATCATCTGTCCTTAATGGCTCTCCACTAGATGCACAGAGCCATCATAAAAGCTATTTCATAACAAGCAAAGCTTAACAAGTGCTTTTAATTGTCCCAAATGATACAGAAAAAGTGATTGCCATACTTGGGGAATGATAGTACATTGAAATTAATTCATTTCATAAACTGTGTCAGCAACTCAATACAAGTTGAAGTAGCCTGTAATTTCCTAGCTGAAGAGAGTACCCCAATGGGAATTTTTCTCCCAATTTTCCCTTGCACATGGGCACATGTTAAACAAGCAGTCAATTATACATTTAACTAAGCACAGTTTAAGTATTTAACCACTACTCAGACTTACACGATGTACTGTTCTGTCAATATGTCTGTTGCTTTCCCTTTTCTTCTCTAGACGTCCTGGCGACCACACGCAAGCAAAACACTCTTTCTGATTCAGCATATGGTCAGTTGACATTTCTTTATCCTCTATTTTTAAAGCTTGTCCGAACTGTCTGAGGTTGTTAGCGAACAGGCTAATGCTAGCAAAGCCCGGTAAGCATCTCTGTTCCCCTTTTTTTAGCAGTTCGGGAGTGTTTGTTGCAGAGAACAGTAACACCACCTCTCTCACACAAACAGCTAGCTTTAACATTGGAGCTATTGTCCAAAGCTAGTTGCCGCAGCAGCACCAGCATGGATATTTGACAGGCTAGCAGCTCCAGTGGCCAAGCTGCCTACTTCCCTTAATCAAGGAGGATCATCATCCCTGTAACATTCCATTACTCCCCACAGCCTGCCCATAGAGCACAGTGGCTACAGAGCTCAGTGGCTGGCAGCAGGCGCTAAAGCGCAGTGCTAGCGCTAGCTCTCAGCTGAGATGTAGCCTAACGTAGCATTACTAGACAATTACTGTATCATTATTTCCGAATTATGGTAATGTCACTCATGAAGTATGGTAATGATAATCATGAATTATGGTAAAGTCATCCATGGGCCGTGTCGTAACGATTGTTTTTTGTCAGAGAGCAGAATTACAATATATATATATATATATATATATTGTAATGACCCAGCTGGGTCATAAAGGAAAAGAAAGATGGGCACCAGGTGTACAGGCAGAACACAGGTTTATTCCTAAATGGGCTATTGTTCAGGCCACAGCCCACGCCACTAAATCCCGAACGTACACAAATATAACATGTAAAGTTAAGGGTCCCGAACAGAAGAGAGAGAGATGAGACAGTAACCCCTATTTATGCATTTCAAAACCCAGCGGGATTACCCGTCATCCCCCCCCCCCCCCCCAACCTTTCCATCTGTCATGGCATATTTAACCCCTGCTAGCACCCATGAGAACAATAACACACCCACGAACACAGAAAACAATACCGGGTCGTTACATAGCCCCCCCCCCCCCCCCCCCCCCATTTCTAAACCCTAGCCCCCTAGTGTTACAAAACAAAATCCTTAAAACGACCCGGAGGTCGCATCAGTCTCTTGTGCCTCCCCGTGACTCTCACCAGCGGACCCCCAGAACACTCATCTGCCCCAATGTCATTTCCAGCGCCCTCCAAAGAGGCAGCCCCCGCCCCAGGCTCAGGTTGCGCTAGGGTCTCCTCGCTAGACTGTTCCCGTGGGCTCACATCAGAGTCCTCACTTCCATTCCCTACCGTTTTCCTCCCTCTGTAGGGCGCCAATCGGTCCCGGTGGACCACCACCTTCCTGCTCCGTGGGGGAACCTCCACCCGGTACGGGGTTGTTCTCCCGCTCCAAAGTGCCTCCCCCTAGCGCGTGAGTCATAGTGGCGCTTTTGGCGCATCCCTGCGTTCTCGAGTTGCTCTCTTGCGAAGGTGTGAGCCGCTTCTAACCGGTTCTGCAGACGACGAACATAGTTCGGGCCAGGCAAAACCCCGTCGTCGTTATCAGGAGGGTGGCCAAACGTCAGTTCGGCTGTGGTGCGCAACTCACGACCTAACATTAGTAGCGCTGGGGAGCACGCAGTCGATTCTTGAACAGCCGACCTACATGCCATAAGAATAAACGGTAAGTGGGTGTCCCAATCTCTCTGGTGTTTTGAGGTAACGATGGCCAGCTGTTGTGCTAATGTTCTGTTAAATCTTTCCACCAGCCCATCACTCTGGGGTGAAGCGGAGTAGTTCACGTCTTCTCCGCGCCTAACCGTCTACACAACTCTGAGAATACCCGTGACTCAAAGTTTCTCCCCTGGTCGCTGTGTATAGACTGTGGCACCCCAAACTGACTGATTATTCCCCCTACCAACGCATCAGCTACTGTTTCTGCCTCCTGGTCTGGGAGAGCGTAAGCCTCTGGCCACTTGGTGAAGTAGTCCATAGCAGTTAGAATCCACCTGTTACCGCTGTCTGTGGTTGGAAACGGCCCCATTATGTCTACCCCCAGTCTCACCATGGGCTCCCCTACTGGGAATTGTTGTAGGAGGGTGTGTGACTGACCTGGAGGTCCTTTCTTAGCAGCACACTCGTCGCACTGCCTACAAAAGTCCTCCACATCCCTCCTGTGCCTGGCCCAATAGAAGCCTTTACGTACGCGCTTTAACGTTTTGGAGACCCCAAAATGCCCTGCGCCTACTCCCCCGTGAAGCTGCTGTAACACGCTCCCTTGCAGCCTTTTGGGCACCACTACCTGCCACGTAATTTCACCAGTAGCTGGCTTTTTCCACCCCCTATGGAGCACTCCCTCAGCCACTCTAAGGACTGTGAATTTAGCCCACAGTCCTTTGGTGACTGGTGATAGAGGGGCTACTTCCCCCCACGGCGGTCGTCTTCTCTCTTCCACCCACCCCAGCACAGGACGCAGCTCTGCGTCCTCCTCCTGGCGACGCCTCCAGAGAAGCCACTGCAGGGCGGAGTGATCCGTCCGGACCACAATCGGCAGGCCCCCCAGGTAGTACTTGAAATGGCGTACTGCTGCCACGACAGCCAAAAGCTCTCTCCTTGTCACGCAGTAGCGTTTTTCAGCCTTATCAAAAGTTCTGCTGTAATAAGCTACTACGTGCTCCCCGTCAGAACCACGCTGAGACAGCACAGCCCCCAAGCCCTCATTGCTTGTGTTGGTGTCCAGGATAAACGGACGTTCGGGTCTGGTGAGGCCAGGACAGGGGCCTCCACCAGGGCACGTTTAAGGGCCTCAAACGCCCGCTGGTGCTCTTCGGTCCACTGAAAAACAGTGTCCTCCTTGAGAAGGTGGTTCAAAGGGGCTGCTACCCCCGCAAACCCCTTCACAAACCTACGATAGTAGGATGCCAGACCCAGGAAGCTCTTAACCTCTTTTTCTCTCCCTGGAACTGGCCACCCCCTCACAGCCTCCACTTTGTCTGGCATCGTGCTGATGCCCTGATGACCCAGGAACGCCACCTCCCTTTGCATGAAATGGCACTTTTCCGGGTGTAACTTTAGCCCCGCCCCCGAAATCCTCTCCAACACTCGCCTAAGTGCCCCCAGTGCCCCCTCAAACGATGTGCCGTGCACCAATATGTCGTCTAGGTACACGACACACTCGTCTCTCGGAACCCCCGCCAGCACTCTGTCCATGAGCCTCTCAAAGGTGGCAGGAGCATTACAGAGCCCGAAGCACAGCACCTTGAACTGCCAATGGCCCCTATCCCAGGCGAGAGGGGCACCTGCCAGTAGCCACTGCGCAGATCAAGTGAGGAGAACCACGAGGACCCTCTGACGTGGTCTAGCGACTCATCGATCCTCGGTAGGGGGTAAGAGTCTTTAGTGGTGACAGAATTTAGGCCCCTGTAGTCAGCACAAAACCTAAGTTTACCCCCTTTCTTAGGCACCATGACGACCGGCACGGACCATGGGCTATCTGATGGCTCAATGAAATCAGCCCGCAACATGTCAGCAATAGCTGTGTCTGCTGCTTCCCTCTTGGCAAGGGGAATACGACGGGCCGAATTTTAATGGTTGGGTGTCCCCAGTGTCGATGTCGTGCTGAACCAGGTGCGTTTGCCCTACCTCATCTTCCCCCCAAGCGACGCTATCTTTAAAGTCAAACAGCAGCTGCTTTAACTGTCTCTGTTGTCTCTCATCCAGACCTTGACAGTTTTTCAGCCACACAGCCTCAACGGCGTCGATAACTTCCTCCTTCCCCCCCGTCGGGCTGATGGGGTGAAGGAGCCAGTGTGTTTTGGGCTACTGGGCTGCCTGTGCTTGCACCATTATGGGCAGTGAAGGTTGTTGCCGCCGGAGACAGCTGCTGGGATGGCACAACGATCAAGGGAGCAGCCGGGACGGCCAGTGGAGTTTCGGCAAGCTTGGAGGAAGACTGAGGGACAGCCCTGCCCCCTGCTGGCCCTCCCAAAGGCGACATTCCCACTGTGGGCCCCCCCGACAGCCTCAAAGTGCCCTAAGCTAGGTCCAACTGAGCCCCACAGTTTTTCAAAAAGTCCATTCCCAGTATACAGGGGTCCTGTACCACTGCTACCCACACCGGACACCCCACAGTTCTCCCCCCCCCCCCCCCACAGTCACAGACAGCTGACACTTCCCTAACATGGGGGCTAGCTCCCCCATGACAGTCCGTAGCTAGACAAGGGTCGGCTCCACCCGCACCCCAACAGGTAGTATGTCTAGTCTCACCAGGGTTACTGTAGAGCCCGTGTCGACCAGGGCCAAACATTCCACCCCCCCTACCTTGACGATGACATTGCAGAAGTCCCCAATGGTGGTACGTCCCACCACAACTACCGGACTAGGAAACACGGCGGCAGCTACACCCTGGGGAAGCAGGTCCCCACCCTCTTGCCTGCGCTGCTGGGTACCTCTTCTGCTTACTGTGGGTTCGGTGGCGGGGGGGTGGGCTGCGCTGCCCCCTGCGCGAGAACCCGCTGTTGTTTCCCTGGTGACGGGAGAATCTGCCACACTCCCGCTGAATGTGGCCAGGCTGGCCACAACCCCAGCAGACAATGGGAGTTGAGCTGACACTGTGATGTTGCCTGGAGCCCCTCTCAATGACAAGCAAAGCGGACTTGACTGACCCGCCCAACTCGTCGACCCACTCTGGTTTGGTGACCCCCGGCTGCCGCTGCTCTCACCTCTGGTTGATTGGCAACCTCCACTCCCTCACCCCAGATCAGCTCCCTCTTCCTGGCTATCTCCACTGCAGCCCGCAGAGATGGTGGGTCCGACATCTGAACATGCTTACCCAGTTCGGTGGAAGAGAGCGCTCTAATAAAACTGTCCCGTGCCAGCTCGTCTTGCACCCCAGTCGGCATAGTTGCGTAAGCCCGCCTGGTCAGGCTCAGAATACCACTTGCCAACGCCTTTAATGATTCCCCCTGAAGTCTCTTTTTGTTACTCAGTTCAATCCGCAGCATGTTGGGCTGCGCATCGCTGCCGAAACGGCCCCCCAATGCCTCCACTAGCGCACCGTAGTCGCCCCTCTTGTCCGGGGCTAGCGTTAGCAGGCATTCCAACGCCTCCTCTGCCAGGCTCAGGGCAAGCTGTAACGCTTTCGTCTCATCAGACCACCTCCCGGCTCTAGCCAACAACTCGAATTGAGTGAAAAAAACTTCCCATTTACCTTGTCCATTGAACTCTGGAAGTTTAGCCGCTACCGTGGCCAATGGCAATAGGGCGCTGCCATCTCTGTTTACATAAGCAGGCCCAGCCATTTCCGCACGCGGTGACGTCGACATCCCCGTCGCCGTGACATCTGTTCTGGTCGAGCGGTGTGAAGGAAAACCCGCCAGTTCTGCCATCTTGCTGACTGACAATTTAACTTCCGCCATGTGGCTCTCCAGCTCTTCTACAGCAGTCGTCGCCTGACCCTCCCGACCGGGTACCCCCGAGCCCACAACGGACACTTTGTCCGACTCTTCCTTAATCTTCCGCCTCGCCCCGAGCATCATGACCGTAGATGCGAGTTACGCTAAAGCCAACCACGGCCTATACTGAAACGGCTAACTCGCCTAATCTCGATCTATCCCGTAGTTCGAAAGCACTTCTGACACCAATGTAATGACCCAGCTGGGTCATAAAGGAAAAGAAAGATGGGCACCAGGTGTACAGGCAGAACACAGGTTTATTCCTAAATGGGCTATTGTTCAGGCCACACCCCACGCCGCTAAATCCCGAACGTACACAAATATAAAATGTCAAGTTAAGGGTCCCGAACAGAAGAGAGAGAGATGAGACAGTAACCCCTATTTATGCATTTCAAAACCCTGCGGGATTACCCATTATACCCCCCCAACCTTTCCATCTGTCCTGGCATATTTAACCCCTGCTAGCACCCATGAGAACAATAACACACCCACGAACACAGAACACAATACCAGGTCGTTACTATATATATATATATATATATATATATATATATCCCTTTGTCACCTTACAAAATTATCCATGGGTACTGATGGTGGCTGCTTATCCTTGGAAGTGATTGAGACCATCTTAGTGAGAGTTGCTGGCCATTATATCTCAACAATACCATCCATCCAGTGTCCAGCCCTTCCATCTATTTCAGAACAAAAGCAATACTGTCTGCACGGCGGCATAGCCTCAGACTAGATGAGCAACCCCACTGGCTAATTCCACCAGGCGGTTACTCCATCCATGCCTCTGTACTCTGTTTGAAGTACTTCACTCCAGACTCAAACTTGCAGAATGACAAAAGCCTTTGAGTCCAAACTGAAGATCAAGGTTTCCCCACAATAAAACACCCCATAATGTTGAATAATGCTATTCTCGCTGGTGTGCATTGGTTCCTAAGTCCTCTTTCTTACTAATCCCCGGCAGTGAACAATCCCATCCCATAGAGAGAGCAGCGAAAGACAAACACCCAGCAGTGTGGACAATCAAACCATTCACATTTGCGAATTGTGCTTTTCTCCTTTTTTTTCTCACTGTAAAGGAGAGAACAGTGCACAGGCACACACACAATGTTGATAAACTGAACAAATAATGCAGCCTTGGAGCTGTTGTCTGTCATGCCAAGGCTGAACTCCCCCGGTGTGCCGTTTTAATTTGCCTGGCGCAGATGGTGCTCTGACAGGGCACCTTATTCGGAGTGAAAACTATCAACTGGCATCGAGAGCGGGCCTTTCGCTTTCAATCTGGGCTGGCACCCTCCAGTATGCTAACATTATGGCCGGCATATTAGCGAAATGTCCACGTCAATAGCAGCGTGCTGTACACAAGGCCTCAAGGACATCCACTGTCAGAGAATTAGGAAGACACTTATGATGGTTGTTGTGAAGATGACAATGCTTTCATCTGCCAGGTCTCTCACAGTACAGATCCACAGACTCAGACCCCACATACCTCCACAGTACCAGTACAGATCCTAATTGAATATGTTGCCATTGTCACATTTTCCATAGACCATTCCCTGTGTAGGTTAGACGGTAACTACCTGTAAAACAGTTTAGTGACGCAGAGAACCGAAAGTTGCTGTAAATCATTACCTCAGCTACTGGTATCTATTTCAACTCATCTGTCAAACCACTTAGTAAAGAAGATCAGACTTGGAAGGTAACTGTATAACAGAGTTTGTATGTGCTGGAAGAGTCATTCATGCACCAGCTGGTCGCGTCCACAACAACAGGGTTTTGCTGTGTAGAACGTGCTGCAGTGCCGGGGGTAAGAGATTCCTTACTGGTTTGGTAACAAAGGCAGCAGGTTTGGAAATCTAAGGCCGATACTGCAGCCAAATCATGACCATATTGGGCCTGAGCGTATTCCTCCAATGACTCGTAATTGCTGAAACTCCTGAATGTTTTATCTATTAAGGTCATTAAACAGTGGGAAAAACTTGCAGCTATGGAGGAGTGCTTTACTTATTGTAACGTATAGGCTACCTACTTTATTTATTGCAGTCATGGGTTAAGTTGAATTCTCTTCAATGCACTCTTTATGTTAATGTCCTCACTGTCATCAAGACTTTATGCACAACAGCTTAACAGTAATTATGACAGTGATATTTTTTTCATGCTGGATTTAGGTATTTTTTTCTCCAAGGTACTAAGAATCCTTCCCTTGTCATAAAACAACATATTTAGGTATTTTTGTGTGCTGCATTTTCCATTTCACTAACGGGTTACTTTGTTACCCCTCCCCCACCTGCACAACAACAGGGAAGACCACACCCACAACAACCGCCAGCACAACCAATCAGGTGGCCCCATTCCCAAAGGTGGCAGGTGACTCTGAAAGAGGTACAGGTCCTGATGGCGGTCCTCCAGTCCCAGTTGGGGACCAGGGGTCACCTGACTCGGAACCAATCAGTGTGGAGATGGAGGGTAAGGGGGTGGGGTGTCTGTGTCTGCTGAACTTTGACCTGCACTGGATTGCATTTATGGGCCCTGCAGCTTAACTGTACACTGCTAATCAGGCTGAGGACTAACACTCTAATCTCTGTGTATGACACTGAACATTTAACCATATATCCACTCACTTAATGAAGCAACCATGAGTTAGAGAGGCTTAATCACTTAAATAGATACTGCATTGGATCCAATTAACTCTTCAATTAACTCTTCAAATCAATGTCCAAACAAAATGACTCCTGCATGTCTCCTTTCATCTCTTATTTAGTCCATCTACTAGGGTAACTTCCTCTCCGCTCTCCAGTGGGACACACTTTAACAATCACACACGACCAAGCACGTCTTCTCTTCTCACGCTGTCTAGAGCGCTGCTTCCTAAATGTCATTCCCAGATTACTCCCAATAGGAAACCAACCGGAGCTCTTAATATTCAGCAGGATGGGAAGACTGTTCGTTGATGCTATTTCCTTTAGCCCAGGCTCTCCTTGCTGCGCTCCTCTGGCGCCTTGTCAGGAGTCCATAAATCCTTGGTAGTGATGGGTTCCATTCAGGCCGACAGAGTCTCCGGCTGCAATGATGAGCCACTCAGGCTCAAATGAGAAAAGCCTGTAACAAATAAATAACCAGCAGCCAGCGCATGGACAAGGGGAAACCGTAATAGAAACTTGGGCGACGCAATCTATTTCAGCCTGGGCTAGTGTCGCCTGGCTGCCGGTTCAATCAAAAGCACGGGGGACCCGGCTGATAAGGCGAGAGAGGAACTGTTCTGGAAGTAACAGCGTGGCAGTTCCAGGAAGGCCTCACTCTCTCTCTCTCTGATGCACCCACACACTGTACTAGCTATAGGACACACATATATATTTATTTATATATATATATATATATATATATATATATATATATATATATATATATATATATATATATATATATAGGATGCTATTGGTTTCAGTTAAGGAACATCATGGAAAAACTTTAGATGAGATACAGTATAGGTAGAACAGGGGTTTTGTTCTAGCTCAGCACCAACACAACTGATAATGTACTTCTGTAAACTGAGGTTAATTTGAGAAGAGATAGCTCTGATGTAAGTTTAAGGCTAGCCTTGAGGCAGGTTTGAAACATCTTTGGCACAATAAACAAAAACAATTTACCGCAAGCTACAGTAATAGCAATTCTGAAGCCCTCTAGAATTGCGTCCCAAATGCTTTTGTTTATATTTTATATAAGGCCTACACACATACAAATACAAGGTGACATGATTCATCCAGCTACGGATAGAAGCAATATATTATATAAAGACTAGGACCGACCAAAATACAAGTACAAGCACCCCTTTTGAGACCTCGCTGTTATGAACATTTCCAGCAATCATTCAGCTGCGGTTAGACCCTGTGTTTCCATCAAGGATACCTCTCTATAGTGTCAGAATGCTTCAACCTACGCATTTGCAAAAGCACATTATTTAGACCCAGCTTTTAGACCTCACTGTTTGTTTTTCCAGTGTTATTTCCTGCTTAGCTTTATTTTAAACAGATCTCCTCCGGGGTCGTCCGCATATTCAAATGAACCTGTGTGGGTACCGCGAAAAAACCCTCGCTATCACAGGGAGACAACTCGATAATAGAGGCAAGCAAGCAGGGCTCTGAAACTCATTAAAGCACTAGGAGAAGAGCAGAGAGTGAACTTAGGCTGAACTTCTCTTTGCTGCTGAAGAGGGGTTGGTGTCCTGGGGGGGACGGTGCCAGTTCCTTACTCTTATTTATATCTCAGTGGACCGAGGAATATAGACACCAGGTTACATCACTTCCCATCTAGCCATAAATACAACTACTCTCTCATATCACCTCTCTTCTTGATTACGACATCATTTGTCATCCTATGTCGCTAAATTCGTTTTAAGTTGTGCATTATAAACTCAAATAACTTGGATAACTTAGGCATATACATTTAGGCATACCAATAATCCCATGCAGCACCCTCCTCAAGCTGGGTGTGTACATTAAGCTGTTCATCATAACTAGGAAAATGATGCCCACCTCACTCACAGCTGTTACAGCCAATTTAGTGTCACTATTTAGTCATGTCGTAATGACACTTAATAAAGGCCACTTTAACTAGATCACTTTTTCCTTTAATTCCTGTGCCCGAATCACTCGCTCTTTATGACAGCTATGAATGACATCAGGTTTTACTATGAAAACACACACTGTAGGGCTCTGTACTGTACACCTCCCCACGGATCATATACAGTACGTGCACAATACTACATCTTTCCATATGCAACAAAAAACAGACCCAACTATAACATTCACTATAATAATGTTGTTCACAACATATCCTTACCTGTCTGTCAACATTAGGGGCTGGTTTCCCATACCCAGATTAACCCTAGTACTGGACAAAAAAGCTAATGGTGATTCTCCATTGAGCATGCTTTTTAATCAAGTACCAGGCTTAATCTGTGTTTGGGAAACTGTTCCTATATGTTTACTGTCACCATCGGGTTCAGAGTGCTTAGTGTCACCATGACATTCTTATTGTCATGTTAACACCATGGAGACCAGAGTGTTAGTCAACATCAGAGTGTTGAGTGTCCCAGTGACATTTGGGCCCACAGTGTACAGATCCACACACGCAGTTGTCCTGACTCCAAACCCCAACACCTTACCCCTTTCTGTCTCCTCGACCCCTGACCCCATGGGGAATAATTCTCTATTAACCTGCCTGTTTTTCGGTTGGAATGACTAACCCTTATCTGCCTCCTTTGTTGAACCCTCCTCTGCTTCTCTTCCCCTTTTCTCCCTATGACCTCTCTACCCAGTTTCAAAGCCTATGACTGAAACTGTGCTTTGTGTGATTTTGTTGCCTACAAGCAGTTGTTTTCTCTATGGCTTTAGGCCTGCTTTCAGGCCACTGTTTGGTAAAGCTATGGTTCTTCCAGAGCTGCTTTTCTATCCACACAGTTAATATGTTTGTTTAGGGAGTTAAGGTAGGGAATGGCTCTGGAATAAAGTAGCTTTACCAGGTGCTGATTGGTGAATGCCCTCTTTATTCTCTTTATTTTATTTCTGATGCAACTGCATGTAAAATGTGTCCCACAATGCATGTAGTGCCATGCTTGATTTGATGGTGTATGATGAGGCAATCAGACACTACTTGAACTATGTCTGTTCCAAAGCTGTTTGAAATGGAAAATCTGTCTTTGTACTGTATTACCGCTAATTGTTTGACAAATAATATATTGGTTTTCAAAGTCAAGGTTGAGTGATATACTGTACTGAGATATTATGGAAAATTGGTCTCTACTTGCCAGGTTCTAAGGGATTGTACATTATTTATAATGAGGGATACCTGGAGAAAATTGGATCTCTGAAATTAAAATGGATGGTCTTCCCTTAAGTAAAATATATTTTTAACCGACCCTCCCCGAACGCTTAAAAAAAAAAGTGAAATCAGTTGTGTTGTCCCTTTAGGTTTCGTAGATGGTGTTTCCTCCCAGACGCGTCCCACAGTGGAGGTCTGTTACAGGCGGTTCCTCGTCCTTTATTATCACTGCCGGAGAGCAGACTCAATCCAATCTTGATGAAAACTCTGAAAAGGGCGTTCCCTTTCAGTCCTTATATACTGCTACACAAACAAGTCATAGAAGCATGATTTACATTATTTATTATTTATTATTAACATTGGTTCCTGCATGTGACTGACTGATACTTCACGAGGCTTCTTCTCTCAAAGCTGGGACCTTGAAACTGAGATACTCCTTTTGGTTCCCAGAGCAATGTTCTGGGCGTACTGCCAATTGGTCTGAGGAAGAGGTCACAGTCACCTGCACGAACCAAGATAGAGTGAGAGGAGATGATGTGTACAATTCAAGGCTATGTCTTCAGACAATAAAAATGTCCCTCGCACTCCTCCATACCCAAAATAATAATTAAAACATAAAGTGGATAGCAGAGAACATGCCTACTGTTTACCCTCACTCCTAGGACAGACAGGAGCCTTATATATGCAGTGTTAGAAACTGTTCTTCATTTTGTAAGCATTACATCACAGACCACCGCGGACAAGAGGGGGTGAAAAGATATCAATTATAATAAAAGCACTGCATGAAATGATCAACTTATTTGCGGTCCGAGAAAAAAGTGCCTTTTATAAACACATTTCTACGCAATTCTACGTCATTTCTACATCACTGTCTCCAGTCATGTAAAATATTTTTTAATACCACAACAGAACATGACAAAGAATGAGTGCATGCTGCAGCACCGGATGCATTTAGATTTCTATACAGGCTACTGTTAAAAAAGAGGATAGTCTAAGTTTGGAACACTGCTAAAGTAGTCTATCAACTGTAAAAATGTAGTGCAACAGAACCAGTTACAACTGAAGTATCTGACCATCAGTGAATTCGAGAAAAATCCATTAATTGTTTAACACTGCAGCCACATATCAACAGGTTGGCCTATATGCACTTGTAAAAAAAAAAAAGACTGGGGAAACTAACATTTTTATAATTTATTATATTTTATTCCATGATATTGTTGTTACAAAATAGATGTGTGTTGACTGTGATTAGGGCATGCTAAGCGAAATAAAATTAAAACTACGCATGCATAGCTCAAAGCATGATCCTCAAACCAAAGACTGGCCAAACTCGTGTAATAAGGCATTTTTCCTTTAATTATTATTTAATTCTAAGTCATATTTTCTTTTATTTAATTTAATACAGCCTAAACGCTAAATTCATAGGCATGTTGTTGAAGTGCTGTTGTTGGTGTGTTGTTGAAATGCTGAGTGCTCCTGCCAGCCTGTAGCATGTCACAAATGCTTCACAATTGATTTCTTAAATGGCTGGCTATAGCCTTGAAATAATAACAATATAGCCTAAATAATTCATTTTAATTCCTTCTCAGGCTACCTGGCTTGGTCCTGACTGATTTCGAGGTAGTATGTTGTTTAATAGCCTGTTGCAGTGCTCCCTCACTTTTTTCACATTGAGAATACACCAGGCTGCATGGTAAAATTATTTCTGGAAAATTAATTA